CAAAAAGTTTAGCAATTTTATCCATTGAGCTACTAAATAAGCATTTATAAATATGACTATTCCATTAGCTCACTTTACTCCCTGCTCCATTCCCCTGGGACTGACATTTTATATGGTACACACTATGTAATCTTTGGCGAGCAGAGAGCTGTGAATAAGCATAAATTTTTAAAAAGACCAACTAGCTGCTGCATGCACCAACATGTACCTCACTGCAACTGAGAAGTTGGCACTCAGCTGGATTCAGCAAAGTTAAAATAAAAAACCTCCCAAGTAATCTTTAAATTCCTCCTTCTCTACAACTCTTGCAAGGCAGTTAGATAATTGATTATCCCGAGCTCATCCAACAACTTGATGCCTAGATGATAGGCAATTTCCAAACATGAAGCAACAGTTTGCATAAAGTATGCCAAACACTCCTGAGATGCACTGCTCGAGATGAGATGCACTGCTCGAAACCTCTACAGCAAATTACAGAACAAAGATAAAGAAGAGGCAACAGAATGGAAGCTCGTCCCTCTAAACTCCAATGTCCCCCATCGCAGTATCCATCCGTCTCAAACATTCAGCACCTACATACTGATTTTTGTCCTTTCCAATCATAAGACTACAAGGTGTGGGAGCAGAATTAGGCCATTTGGCCCAACAAGTCTGCAGCACCATTCGATCACAGCTAATATCTTTCTCAAACCCATTCCCCTGTGTTCTCCCTATAACCTTTGATCTACTCACTAATAAAGGACTTCTCTCTGTGTTAAATACACTCAATGACTTGGCCTCCACAATCCTCTGGATCAACCACTCTCCGCCTGATGAAATTCCTGCTCAACCCAGTTTCTAAAGGGTCATTCCTTCAATCCAAGGCTGTGCTGTCATTTCCATTAATAGGAGAGGCAAGGACCGATTGTCTCCTTGTCCACTCTAACCAGGCCTCTCAGTATTCGGTAACTTTCAATGGATCCACCCCTCATTTTAAACTCCACTGAGTACAGACCCAGAGTCCTCAACCGCTCTTCAAATGACAAGCTCTTCATTCCCAGGACCATTCTTGTGAATGTTCTTAGGACCCCGTCAAAGCCAGCATACATCTGCCTTCAATAAAGGGACCCAAAACTATTCACAACATTCCAAATGCAGTCTGACCAGGGCCTTCAATAGCCTTGTCAGTACATTCTTGTTCTTGTATTGTAGCCCTCTCAAACTGAATGCTAACATTGTATTTGCCTTCCTAAGTCCCAAGGAAACCTTCATGTTAACCTTAAGAGAATCCTGAACTAAGACTCCCAAGTCCCTTTGTGCTTCCGAATTCTGAAGCTTCCTCCCTGCCACCATTAGAAAATAGTCCACAACTCTATTCTTCTTACTAAACCTCACCTTCATCCACATTGCGTTCGATGTGCCCACCCTCCTAGCCAATCAATCACTGTTTCTTAAATATTAGAAATTGTAGTGCAGGACTTGAATCAGTCACATGGAGACATCAAACCACCCAATCTTGCATAACACGTGAACCTCAAAGGCCTTTGGTACCCCAGGGATACAGTTCCATGATGCTGCCATTGAGGCCTGGAGAGGTGATACTGGATAATGTTGTCTCTCCAACTTGTAACAACAGTTTGCTCTGTCTGAAATAAGGAGGAAAATAAACTGTGGAGAGATAGGTCTAATGGATCAGTAGACAAAAGACACTGTCTGGGATAACAAGCACGCAAAACCACCCAAACCCAAGTTTGATTACTAGTTCACATAATGCTAGCTGACATCAGCCAGGCAAATGGTGAGGATTTGACAGTGTCTCATGACTGGGCAAATGGAAATAAAAAGGGGAGACAGAAAAACAGATCCAACAAGGCTCTCACTCTTAACGAGAAGACCATACCCAAATTCTGTTGGAAATTACACACGAATGACCAAGTAAAAGCTAAGACTGGACTGCAGTGCCCGCCATTACTAAGCTAAGCAATGACATTCTTCTATCTCCCTCATTGTGAATGGTTACTTAGGACTGCAGGTCCACTTTCACCCATATTACGTGCCTCAAAAAGTAAGAACTATAAACAGGGGTGAAAACTGGGAAGAAAAATTAGAATAAACACCTCTTTAAAGTGTTGTAATCAGCATTGCAAGGAAATGAGTCATAACATATAGCACATTAGATGAAGTTGAGGTTAGGTAGGCAAAGTGCCATTCTTGAATGACTTTTCACACTATCTACTTGCCAGCAAGCTATTCCAACGTAGGAGAAATCATTACAGACCCACTTGCTGTTGCTTACACACATGGAATTATCAATGGATAGTGATTAGTACTAAAAAACTATGATTATTTCCCCTCTTCCACCTCTACTGATGCTGCAGCTAAAATTAGATGGTTCATCACAAACTGATGATTGGTTCCAAGATACATCACGGGCTGCCTTAATTCTGACAAAGGGCAAAGTGATTCCTCATCTAATTTTTTTTCTCCCCAAGTGGACTCTCAATGAAGAAATCACTGTACTTTCTCCCATCATTCCTGTCAAAAAAATCCTGATTCCTAAAAAAATTGTACTATACCCTGTCTGGGCTAGTGCTCTGCTCAAAGACATTGTTTGGAAGACTGGCAGGGATCGTAATGTTGGGACAAGAGAGAAGAAACAGAGAAAATTCCTTTTGGCAGTAATTACTTTACAGTTATTTTATTATACAAACTATACAAAACATACAAGATTGCCAGTAAGTCCAGCAGTTCTGCAGTCAGAGTTCAATATAAATCTGTGATTATGATCATGGATAACAGTGGAACAACAACCACACAAAAGCAATTTTCATTGGCTCTGAGCTGGTCTACAAAAATGCACTGTCTCATCTAACATTGTTGCTTTCGTTCTCTCTTCTTTTAATGCACCACTGTTGCTTACCAGACCGTATAATAACAAATAGAATTTAAAACAACACTGCAAATTCCTGGTATCACTAGGAAAGCTTTTTCCTGTATCACTGGTTCTTCCTGTCACATGAAAGAATACACTCAGACTCCCAACTCAGCCCCTGCCAACAACACAACATGTTTTGAGAACAAAGGACATTCAATTCAACAAGTTCCTTTTTTGGGACAAATTAACTTACCATAATCATTTAATCCTCTCTCATAGCAGAAACATAGATAATATGTAACTATTTAAGAGGGCATTAGGAATCTCATACATCGTCTTGAACAACGTTACAGGTGTAGCCACCATGATAAAATTCAGGTAGAATTCATATTTGTTGCCCCCCATCCAAGCTGTTTGTTGGAACCAGGGGTTTTTTTTTTGGGGGGGGGGGGGGTAGAGAAGGAAAAGAGACTATTATTTTCTTGTAAATGCTTACACTATTGGACTTGTAATAAAAAGTCTGTCTTTTTCAGACCAACACTATGTATTTTGTACAATAAATTTTTTTCATTGTTTTCCTCTTGCTACGTTTTGAGAAGGAGTGCATCTTCATAATACAAATTAAACGTTGATCAGGAAAGGACCAAAAAAATTGAAAACATTGAAAAAGGGTGCAGGATTGCCTATATGCACTGAGGATTGACAATGGCAAATCTTGACATTCATAATTAACCATAGCTATACACTATAAAAAAATGATGGAATCCAAGGGAATTACCCAGCTACAACTGCATTTCTACATGTTGACATATGTTAGAACTACATGTTACCTATAATAAGCCCTCTTAAAATATGCCTCCGACACAATGCAAAACAAAATGCTTCCTTACCTCCATTCAAATTAAACTCTCTACAGAAAATACTGACAAAAGTCAAAAACAATGAAATATCATTTCATTACCACCCTTACAGTTCATATTCACAAATATTCAGTTTTTCATCCCCAGTTTCACCAAGTTTTTTGTTCTTTAGTAATTACCATTACAGAAGTCTAAAACACAAATACCAATTATAGTTAAAGTGGCAAAGGAGACTCATTATGCAAAATAAGTTTTTGCAATCATAATCCTAAACTCAATACTTGCTGTGTTAATCTTTAAAACACCCAAAACTAAAATACATAGCCTGTGTTAACTTATTAAGCTCTAAAAACCTTCAGTGCTTTTAGAGAATTAAATACCAAATTCACAGCACAGATACGAGGACAGGAACTGTTTTTTAAAATACCTGTAACAATCATGCAAAAAGATACCTCAAGGCACAAAATGCTAAGCTAAATGCTTAAAAAAGTTACGTAATTAAAAGAATCATTTTGAATGTTCAATTCAAAAACGATTCTCACATCTAGATATCCAATCAGACAAATTAAAAAAAGGGATGTTCATTTCAAAAAAATGTCAGCAAAACGAAAAAGGTTCATTTGTAAACAAATAAATTGCACATTTTGTAAAAATAGAGATCAGAAAAATGGGAAAACCCACTTTTATAATACAGATTAATCAAGCAAAGTGAAGTGAATTTTCCACTTCTATAAAGAGATCAGACAAGATTAAAATTAAAAAGATTCCCTTTTTTAAAAAAGGCACATCAAGAAAAATGAATAGACAATAAATAGGACTGGCTTTTGAAAACATTTTCATCAGCTGTTGCACATCACACAAAGGAATAAACGGCCTGCTTCAGAAGAGGAATTGTGAAAGGAAGTGAAAAGAAAAATCCTTTTACGACACCTGAGGCTTGATTTATATTTGTTTTTAAAAAAAAAAAGAGGTGGGATGAGGAAGAAGAGAGAAGCCAAGGCGGATTTCGGACAAGGAAAGGGGGTGGGTGGGGGAGAGCGTTTTGGAGATGGAATCATATTTGGAAAAGGGTCGGGGAAAGGAAGAGGAATGCAGTACCTCTGCCGAGGCTTGGCCTCAGCTGGGAAACGATATCGAAGGGTTAAGGTGGGGGTGGGAGGCAAGAGCTGGGTGCTGTGGTTGAAAGGGGAGGTGGGGGAACAGGGGGGACGGGGTGGCCTAGTGGAGGCAGAGGCACGGCTGAAGCCTCTACTCCTACCCTCCCTAGCAACCACCGATTGACTCACCTCGAACCTGCTCTTGGTGACTCCATTCATCCTGCCGCTGGCTCCGGCCGGCCACTCGCCGCCGCCGCCGCTTCTCCCTTGCCCACCCCTCCCTCCCCAGCCACCACACACCGGAGGATATTATTTCTCCCTCTCTCTTTGCCTTCTTCAACTTTTCAACAAAAACATTAAAACAAAAACAGACACGACACTCCACCCACCTGCCAACATCCTCGCACCTGATTGGACCGCACGCCCGGGCCCCCGGCTAACCGGTTTATTTACAAAAGTCCCCCCCCC